CTCCCCCCCCCCCCCCCCCCCTCCCCCCCAATAATATTGTTAGTGGGGCACGTGCCCCTTTCCCCCCCATGGGTTCGGCGTCTATGTGTATAACACAGAGGGGAAGCTCTTAGCCCATGACTGCGCCCTGACTCTGGAACATGAGCTAACCCACTCTCTAATCTGAACCTTCCCATTCCCTTCACCTAGAATTCAATTAGGTTGAGTTGAGTTCGAGCCCGCGTTCGAACCCAACCCACGGGAATTGCGCTCGTTACCAACCTGCCCCTGAGGGCTTGGACTATCTTAAATGAAACGGTCAACGAAACCGATGAGAAGTCATTAGAAAGAAGGACGTCGCCAAGAATTTATTTTAGGAATGTCCAGTGGCTTTTTCCAGCTCATCATCTGACAGAGGTGGTGGGGAGGGTAGATGGTTCACAAGGGTGAAGTCCTACGTAAAATAGTGCCGGGGCGGGGGGGACCGGATACTGTTAATTTTTTTAGTTACCCAAGACGGCTTGGCATATGTAGGATTTTTGGAAGAGTATTAAGTATTAAGAAAGTTGAATGTGATAAACGTGAGGCGCTTCGTATCCATGCATGTTAAAAGACAGCAGTGGCGGCTCGGAGTCGCCACTGACAGACAAAGCAGCAGCGGCAGATCAGAGTATATAAATTGTTAGTTGGAACAAACTCACACCACATCAACGGATGGGTAGGGCTACGGGTTTCCCCTCATTGCGTGCACCCCTGAAAATAATAATATTTTGTCTCTTTTCAGGAGAAAAAAATGTCCCTGGGCGCACCCCACAGCTGAAAAAAAGTGGCTGGGCTTCACCCAATTCTTGCCCAGGCGCCACTACACCCCTGGTGGTCGGCATGGATGAAGAAATCTTCGGTCCCTCGCTCTTTATCATTCTCGGGGCAATATTCATTTTATTTTCCCTTTCCGTGTCGTGTCCGGGCAGAAGGGAGAGGATCAGTTGCACCCTTGGATGGATGCGGAAAAAAATAATAATGTGTGGATCTAAGACCTCGTCCGCATCAGAAAGTTTTCTGTGCAGTTCTTTTGACTTGAAAAGGAAACTTTCATGGTGAAGACGTATTCGAAAGTTTTATTTCATAAATATTTTTCTTTGCATAATTCCTTCATCGTCTATGCGAGAAAACTTTCTGGTGTTGACGAGGCCTAAAAGTTCCCTGATGAGATTTAGCAAAAATAGGTCTAATACCATAACCAAACAATAGAGTTTCATCGAAGTGGGCTGATCGGTTTAACAGGAGTCATTGGCTAAGTTGATACTTGAACAGTTAGTTGTTATAGAAATTCCTCAAAACTCGGAATGGGCAAATAATTAGTTTTGTTTTAAATTAAAAAAAAAGTCCGATGATCTGGCCACAGTAAATTTTGAAGCGGGAATGAACCCGACGTACGAAGAGGGCTGTCATGGCATATTTAGCTGGACCGTTGGCCTTCCTTTTGCGAGAGTCCTCCAGCGCTCTGGCATCTCTGACAGGACACAATTCCCTCCTTCTTCCAGGAAGGCTGGGAGCAGTCACATCTCCTATCACTCTGTCACTTGTTTCATGAAATCTTGCTCCATTTAGCGTGATTCATCCCAGGCTTCTCCATCGGAAGAAAACATTTCTGAAAAAAGCAGGTTTTTCTGTTCCACGGAAGCAATTCAATAAACCACAAGAAAACAAGAATGATTTTCCATGTAATAATTCACAGATTCATGGATTTGCTACGCCAAAACACTCTGGACTTGTTTATTCATGAACATAATTTATGATTTCGAACTTTGAGGCTTCATTCGTGAACTCGCCCCTATCAGCATGCTTATGATTTCTTCACGACAACTGGCCGAACAACTGACGGGATTCGTGCAAAATTCGAACAGCACGAATTGAATCAGGCCCAAGGTCCACTCAAGAAAACTCGGACGAGGATGATGGGGACAGAGGAGAGTGCTTGTGCCTCCATCAATACTTTTTTGCACAAGGCCTTTAGGGAAATCACCGACACCTTTGGCGCGCGCAAAAAAAAAGAAGAAAACCAATGAAAGATGTCAATCATACTCATTACCGTTTTTCAAAGGAAGGAACCTGTAACTTTCACATTACATTCGCTGACATCGCATGTTATCAACATGAGCTGATTTGTGCAGAATTCTGCATTCAAGAGTGCAGCATTCTTACAGTCTCTTCTGGTGCTGACGGATGGCAAAGACGACTCCAAAAATCTTTAAGTAGTCAGGGACACTTTTGTGAAAAGGAGGATAGGATAGGATAGGAGTGGCCCAGTGGGTATCGGGAATTTTTTTGCCTATTCTTTATGGCAAAGCAAGAAAGTTTAATTCTTCACCTGTCGATGTTGCCACAATGCTCCGGATAATGATAGTTTTTGAGATAATAAATTTTTCATTTTCAATTTTCCCTCCACTTTTTCTCTGCAATCTGGATCGATTGTTCGAAAAATCCTCGTCAGTCATTCATTTCTTTCATTTACATTTGTACCTTTGTTAGGTCTCGTCCTACGAACGAAATCTTCGCAAACTCGTTTCCCCCTATCATTTTTGCGTCAATTTTCGGAAAGGCGTGGGCAGGTGCGTCTGAGGCCAAGAGTGGAAAAACCTACTATTACTACTACGTATTATTGGATCGGCAATTATTCATGCAGTTATTTCCTTGCCTGTAAACATAGAATCCAAGGTGCCTATTCTCCTCTTATTCCACAAGCCTCGAAAGACGGAAAATGGATCCTGACCGGTCCCTACGAAGGCTCGAACGGTATCGAACACAGAATAGAGACGAGGGAAACCGTACTACACCGTACAGGAATCTCATCCGATGAAACGAAAGCTCAAAGACGGTCGGACGGCCGTTCGTGCAGCTCCTCTCCTCCTCCGTCGTTCCGGCGAACTGTCATTCGTCCCGTGGAGGTTGGAATTTGGCGTCCGAGGAAACATGCATGGTGGAAGTGATGTGATGGATGGATGCGAAACAGATACGTTCGGTCTCAATCTTTTAGCTTGACTCCTACACCGAACTTGAGAAACTCAGTTCTCGTATGGGAAGCCGTTGGAAAATAGCCGAATGGGAACGATTAATTCGATTCGCTTAATGTGGCACCAAATATGACATTTCGTGCACTCGACGACAGTACATTGTCGCTCGTGAAACTCAGGATACATTCCATTTTCTTTGGATCTCGGACGACACGGCCAAGAATGCCAAATCCGGTGACATCGTAGCATTGCATTTCTTACACGTCCACTTTTTGGAACATCTCGGACGAATCACGACTTTACGAGCAGGCTTGGCTTCGGACCGAGGCGAAGACTCGGGTGGGCTTCCTGGTCTCTTCTGCTTCTTATCGAGCGGGGAGACGGAGACTTGGCTCCTCCGCCTTGTGTCATGCGGATTCTTCTTCGTCGATGAGCCTCCACAGCAGATGCCGCTCTTGGGTTTCGCTTTACTTCCCCATAGATCATTGCAGACATTGCTACCTGATCGGAGCAAGGCATGTTGGCACGAGTGGAAATACTCGTTGGAAGCAGCCCCCCTCATCCGTCGACCGTCTCATTCCCGATACCCACTGGGCCACTCCTATCCTATCCTATCCTCCTTTTCACAAAAGTGTCCCTGACTACTTAAAGATTTTTGGAGTCGTCTTTGCCATCCGTCAGCACCAGAAGAGACTGTAAGAATGCTGCACTCTTGAATGCAGAATTCTGCACAAATCAGCTCATGTTGATAACATGCGATGTCAGCGAATGTAATGTGAAAGTTACAGGTTCCTTCCTTTGAAAAACGGTAATGAGTATGATTGACATCTTTCATTGGTTTTCTTCTTTTTTTTTGCGCGCGCCAAAGGTGTCGGTGATTTCCCTAAAGGCCTTGTGCAAAAAAGTATTGATGGAGGCACAAGCACTCTCCTCTGTCCCCATCATCCTCGTCCGAGTTTTCTTGAGTGGACCTTGGGCCTGATTCAATTCGTGCTGTTCGAATTTTGCACGAATCCCGTCAGTTGTTCGGCCAGTTGTCGTGAAGAAATCATAAGCATGCTGATAGGGGCGAGTTCACGAATGAAGCCTCAAAGTTCGAAATCATAAATTATGTTCATGAATAAACAAGTCCAGAGTGTTTTGGCGTAGCAAATCCATGAATCTGTGAATTATTACATGGAAAATCATTCTTGTTTTCTTGTGGTTTATTGAATTGCTTCCGTGGAACAGAAAAACCTGCTTTTTT